CCAAAAACGACCTCCTTTCCCAAAACAAACACCGTTCAAAACCCGCCATCCGGAAAGAAACTCTCCCAATACAGCTCCCCACCCATTCCAATCCCGTCAAACCCCATCCCCTCAACCGCATCCATCCCAGACCCTATCATACCATCCACCCCGGCATCCTCCGGCGTCAGCCCGCTCCCCTCAGGCCTCAACCTCAACAACAACCCATAGCAAAACTCCAGACTATCCCTCGCCGCCTTTGCCACCGCCATACCAACATCCCTCCCCTCCTCAACAGCCGCCACCTGTCCCAAAATCATGCCCAAAAACATATGACTCTTGACGTTCGTCTCCCCCCTCCTCACCCGTTCCTCAGCAAGCCTCATCAACTCCCCTACCGCCCCTTTTAACACCTCCCTATAATGCGTCACCCGTCCCAGCGTCCCACTCCGCCTTTGTGACTCTACATGTGACAGCAACTCCAACCCGACCGCCGACGCCGCGTGACGGATCCCCTCCCGGAATAAACCGCCGCCTGTGGCCATGAGCTGCGCGAACAGCGGGTCGGGTTGTTCAGGCGAGATGAGGGCCAGCGCGGCGTCCAACGATAGCTTGAGGGAGTAGTGGAAGAGAGGGTTGGCGTGCGCCGCGTGGGCGGGCGCGTAGTGCAGGGGGATGAGGAAGCGCCGGGTGAGGTAGTCGAGGAGGTTGCGGTGGAACGGGGTGGCGGATTTCAGGGCCTGGGACGGGGCCAGGGCGGAGGTGAGTTGCGACGTGAGGGACAGGATGGAGGGGTAGGAGGGGGAGGCGTGCAGGTTGTTGAGCAGGTGCACGATTCGCAGGCGGGTGGGGAGGGAGGAGAGCAGGGCGAGTTGGATCGAGGTGCTGGTGAAGGTGGTGGGCGGGTGGGGGGTGAGTGAGGTGGCGGAGTCGGAGAGGAGCTCGTCGTCGTTGACGTTGGCCGGCGGGAGCGTGTCGAACTCGTCGAGCGAGATGCGCGGCGGCATCCAGGCGTCGAGCGAGGCCTGCACGACGAGCTCGAGGATGGTGGCCCACAGCCGGCGGCGGAGCTCGGCCTGGAGGAGGGGCATGGCGGGAAGGTGCTTGGGGTCGCGGTGCAGGCCCATCTGCATGGCGCGGTGCACGAGCGAGCCGACCGACAACCACACCGTGTCGCCGCCGATGGAGAAGATCTGGCGCGCGAGCAGGGTGAGGCAGTAGATCTGCAGCCCCGTCATGTTGAGGCGGTCCTTCTCCAGCGGGCCTGAGAGCCACATTTGCGCGGCGTAGATCCATTGGTGGACGGTCTCAATGTTGCGGTGCGTGGCGGCCGCGTCGCCGTGGTCGTAGAGACTCGATCCGATGCCAATGACGAGGAGCACCTTGAGGCGGAGGTCGGGTGCGGCGGCGTCGGGCTGCTCCCAGAACTTTTGGTACTCGGCCCAGAAAGTCGGGGCGTGCAGAATGCGGTGCGTCGACTCGAACGACGCAAAGTAGAGGTTGGCGATGGCATCGGCCACGTCCCGAGAAGGGGGGTTGAGGCCGTAGCCCGGAGGAGGCAAGCCGCGGGTGGGCCGGCCAACTTTGATGCTCTTCGCCCTTACCTTGCATTTCCGCAGGTACTCGCCCGCCTCGGTAATCAGAGCGGCAACTTCAGGTGTCTGAAAAGCGGGTTCCTTGCTGTCGCGGCCGATCATCTCGCTGTAGCAGGCGATGATGGCGGCATACTCGTCGGCGGCGGCGCCCATCCAACGGCTCCGGCCCCAGTCCCGGGGCTTGTTCAGCACTGCCTGCCATTCCTGCTGCGTGGCCGGCGACGGGTGGGCAAGAGAGTTGCGGTCTGCTTCGGAGAGAGCATGAAGAGTGGTTAGGTTGTCGTCAGTCCGGGGTGCCGACGACTCCTCGAGCTTCTGCACCCGCTGCAGGAGATCACGGAGGCTGGGGCTGAGACCGTGGTCCGGGCCATGGTCCGAAAGGGACGGCCGCGAGTCCGAAAACTGATGAGGACGGCTGAGAGACGGTGGGACTGGTTGGCTATGAGCCGGGGTGGGGGCCGCGGTAGGTGCAGCTGTCGGCGCGGGTCTTGGTGGGTGCCTAGGATCATGATGGTGCACCGAGAGCGGGTCCCGAGCTGGCGGAATCTGGTGCGCTGTGGACGCACTGGGCAAGGGAGATGGAAACGGGTGGGCTCGGCCTGACACGGACGGACTTTGCGTGGTCGCGCGTGAACTGGCGGCATCATCGCCGAACGATTGCTGGTTCTCGGCCGGGGACTGTGACTGTGCTCCTGCTCCTGGACGGGATATGGATATGTTCTCCTCGTAGCTGTAGGGCCGGTAGATGCACTGCGTCTTGTGGTGCTGGCAGTGGCCGCACGGGTTGTTGTGGTCGCACTTGATCTTGCGGCGACGGCATTCGCGGCACGATAACGCGGGCCGTCGCCGCCGACGCAGTTTCGGAGTGGGCGGGCCTGCCGCTGGTTGTTGTGCCTGCCTCTCCATAAGATTGGACCTGGCCCTGGAGAGTGGATGTGTGGGTGGAAAGACCCAGGTGGTCAGAGACGCGCAGAGTGCGAGTTTTCCGTCGCGACGCAGTTATCGGATTGTGAGATGGACTGACGGACAACGGACCACGGACGACGGACAAGCTTATCTCCGCCGCATGGACAGCAACCAATAGGAAAAATTGGGTAAGTCACGGCACTTGCCCCACATTAGCAAGACCGTCCTATTAAACACACTATCCTACTATGTACCGTTAATGTAGTATAGTGTGTGCCTCCATCTCACCTTGACTGCGTTCTGTTCAAGGGAAGGAACAACCGGATGGACTACCTGAGCCACGGTACCTGTATTCTGTAAGAACGGAAGGAGCCACCGCATCCGATACCTGATTTTGTGGTCCGGCTGGGCATCTGGAACGACCCTAATAATTCACAGCCAACCAGACAAAATACACCCAAATCCTACAACTGCTTTTCAACGCCCAAGCTGGCTAGCACCCAAAGCGAAATCGGATGCCCTGAGCTAGCGTAGTCATCAGGATCGGATTTGACGGGAAATTTATCTTGCCACTGACGTGTTTAAGATCTGAGTACCAGACAATGGAGATAAGATGAGCACTCTCATGGCAATTTCCCGCCATAGGTATGCCGCTCTCGGCCGCAACCACTCCTTCTCGGCCGAAGTGGCTTTTGCAGACGAGCGATATGATTGGCGGCACCCCCCCCTTGCTGCCTATTTAGGTAGGTTCACACAATCACCGTACCACACCAAGCTGACATGCCTTCCTTCCCCCTGCAAGACGCAAGCGGCGTCATGCAAATCGCACACCATCCCATTTTCAATCCCACTAGCATCATACTTTTTATTCCCAAGCAAATCCCGCAATGCCGCCTGTCAGCCTCCGGGTGCTTATCAGCGGCGGGGGCATCGCCGGCAACGCGCTAGCCTTTTGGCTCGCCAAGCAGGGCCACGATGTGACGGTCGTCGAGCGGTTCCCGAACCTGCGTCTGACCGGACTGCAGCTCGACCTGCGGGGCCATGGCGTCGAGGTGCTTCGGCGCATGGGTCTCGAAGACTCGTTCCGCGCCAAGGCGGCACCAGAGCAGGGCATGCAGGTCGTCGACAGTTCCGGCAGGCGACGGGCCTACTTTCCGGCCAACAAGTCTGGCACGGGCCGACAGGCCTTCACCTCCGACTTTGAGATCATGCGGGGGGATCTATGCGGTCTCCTCTACGACGCCGCCAAGACCTCCAACAAGTCGCCACAGTACCTGTTTGGCACCTGGGTCGAGAGCTTTGCCCAGGACACTGACAGCAAGAGTAATCCTGAGCTGCCCGTCGAGGTGCGCTTCGACAACGGCAAGACGGACAGGTTCGACCTGCTCGTCGGCGCCGACGGCCAGTGGTCGCGCACCCGCAGGATGATGGTCGGCCCGGGCAACCCAGACGGTCTGCAGCGCATCCCCGGGCTCAACTTTGCCTACTTCACCATGGCGCGGCCGATGCAGCCCGGCGAGGAGTACCTTGCCACCTCATACATGGCGCCGGGTCGCCGCGGCATCATGACGCGCCGCCACAGCCCGGACGCAATGCAAGTCATGCTGTCGTGTCGGAGCGACCCGGACCGCCTGCAGAATGTCACGCGCGGAGATGTCAAGGCCGAGAAGGAGGCCATGGCTGACATCTTTAAGGGTGCCGGGTGGATCGCTGACGACATCATCAAGGCCATGAGGGACGCGGATGATTTCTACTGCGAGCGCATGGGGCTGGTGAATCTGCGGCCTTGGTCCAAGGGCTATGTTACGCTTGTCGGCGACGCCGCACATTGTCCGACCGTCCTGACGGGTATGGGTACTACCTCGGCTATGGTGGGTGCTTATATTCTGGCAGGCGAGATCTCGACGCAGTGTGCCGATGATGGTGATGGGAGGACCAAGGCGGAGCGAGTGGAGAGGGCTCTTGAGGGCTATGAGAGAAAGTTCCGCCCTTACATGGACCACGTGCAAAAGGATGTTTTACGGAATGCCCACAACCAGTGGGCCATGGCCGGGTCGGCGTTCAGCGTTGGGGTCATGAACTGGCTGTTGGGTGTAGCCGCGTTTTTCAAGATCAATATGGCAGAGGCGTTTGGAATCAGGGACGACATCAAGGGGTGGGATCTGCCTGAATACGAGCGCATGGTGAAAGGATAGATCTGTGTTTGACTCTGCGGTGCATGACTTGTGAGTGTGATTGAAAAGTCAAGCTCTGCTCAGTTTATTCAGTTTGCCACCTGTTTATATGCGAGATTCACACGGTATAATGAGCGATTGTCGATTTTACTTTGAAAGGGGTTAGCACTACCTACATTGTTTGAGAGCGAAGAACCTGGGGTTCCGTCTTTTGGTGCAGTGGGAGTTCTGAGGCTTTGAATAGCTACAACCCTAACAAAAATCACAGGCACGACTTGTATACTGCCTTTATTGCTTGTTTCGAAGGAATGTTGAAGCAACCCTGCAACTCCTATACCACAAGAGACATGACTGGCTGGCCCACCAGACCAACGACAACTGAACCGAATACATATTCAAGAAACGGGCGCAACCTCCTGTGGCATAGCAGTCTTGACGCCGTTCACCCCGCTTATCCCATGCCCCTTGGCCTTCTTGCTCGGCAGGCCATCCGGATTGATGTCGTCAGACACATAAGCCCGGTTGATGAACGGCTCAAGAATGCGCGCCTTGGCACCCGTGATGGGGAACCGCACATGGCCGCGCACGCGCTCAAGATAGCGATCCATCATGGGCACGTAGTGCAGACCCGACGAGCCAAACCGGCGCAAAAGATGCGCGTTGGGCTGCGTCTCGAGATACTCCATGCAGCGCACGTAGACCCAGCGCAGCTCGCGCTTGAGCTGCACGCGGTCGCCCGCCACCGTCTCCGTCTTTTCGCCCTGAAGAATCCCCAGCGCCTCCTTCGCCATGTCCATGCTCATGCACTGGGCAATGGACGCCGCCTCGAGCGCGTTGTCATCCACCCCGCCCGAGACAAGCCCGTCAGTCGCCAAAATCAGCGCCGCGCAACCCAGAGTGTTGCCCGTCAAAACTCGGTACTGCGTCATGAGCGTCGTTTTACTCTTGAGCAGCGCGTAAACGCCCGGGTCGACTTTTTCAAAGTACTGCGTCAGCATCTGCCGCCACAGGCACATCTCGACGAATTCCACTTCGGCCGGGGGCAGACCCTCGCGGAGGAGCCCTTGCTTGCAGTCGTCCCACGTGTGGCCTAGAAAGCGGTAGGAGCCGTTGAGGAAGTCCTTGGGGGGCAGTTGCACGTCGTCTGGAATCGCGGCGAAGGCGACGTAGATTTGCTTCCAGTAGTCCTCGGGCCGCAGCACGCCGCCCCAGTGCACCCACCAGCTTAGCACGTCGCGCATGATGTACAGGCTGACATTGTCTGGATCTTTGTCGTTTTTGCCGGACGTGATGACGTAGTCGTCTGGGTGCGACTCGGGGGCTGTCAGGAGGTACTCGTCGATGCGGCGTACTACGGCCGACATGTCGTTGCAGGTGCAGGGGGGTTCGCATGTGTCGCCTACTGGGGGGGTGTTAGTTCCTTTCATTTTGTCTGTTTTTTCAAGTTGAGGAAGAATGCTTATCCTTACACACAGAGTACAACGGCATCGCCTGCTCGCTGATTTCGATGCCGTACCAGGCGCTCCCCTTCTTCTGCGCCACGGGAGTCGACGCCTGCCTCTTCATGTCGCAGATGTGCATGTTGTAGCGCAGCGGAGCAGACCCGAGGACGTGGCCGTCCCCAAAGTACCGCTTGATGGTCTCCCACATCTCCTTAGTCGACATGGCCATCTTGATTCAGGTTGGTCTGGAAGTCTGGATGCTAGACACTGCGTAGTAACACTCAACTGTGAGCTAACGAATGCTGGTTCCGTGAATTTTGATCCAAGATGCAGAGTGCCGACGCCAAGCAAGTACATCCTGATGTTCCCCCCTATTTTACTAGTACTTATCATTATAGGAAAAAACATCCATGTCCCACGTGAGGCAATTCCCATCTTGGATATTACCAGCTTGCTCTGGGATACTGCGGATGAGAATTACCGGGGACTTTCTAGAATAATGCCACATAATGCCAGGTACTGCAGTACGAATTCTCCCCGCCGACTTTCGCTGTGGCTCGGCGTCAGCGCGATGGATCGGGAAGTATTCTAGATACATTTTCCCCCGACTTTTTTCTCCCCGGGCTGACAATCTTAGTCAGATGAGCGCATAGCAAGGCATCTTTTGCACTTTCATGGTGTTTTTGTGTGCAGTATTTTGAATTTTATTGTCCAAAAGGGGCAACCCCTGAGAACATCGCTGCAGGGGCGCTGCATAGAAACATGGTATTTAAACACCACTGATAACGACTCATGCAACTCTGATGCACCGAGGGTGTGACATGCCGACTTTGCAAGTCCCAGAATCACCAATCAGCATCATCCGGCCCATCTTCAGAGTTTCAATCGGTCTCATCTGATCTCGCCATCAAACTGAATTGGCGATCATGCTCTCGTCCGTCTCAACCATCCTCCTCGGCCTTACGGCCCTCATCCCGGCGGTCTCGGCCGTGCCTGCCACGGCGGTGCCCCGGGACGACACTGCTGGCAAGCAGCAGCCCGGAACACTCCCTCTCCCTGAACGCCTGCTGTACCACTGGCCCAACGGGACCTGGGTCGAGAACATTGCCGTGCGCCCCAACGGCAACCTGCTGCTCACCACATCCACGCCCAACGGCACCGTGTGGCACGTCAAGAAGCCCTGGCTCGCCCAGCCCGAGGTCGAGCTCGCCTACAATTTCGACCAGTGGGTCGACCGCCTGATCGGCATTGGCGAGTCGACGCCCGACAAGTACATCGTCGTCGGGTCACGCTTCTACTCGCCCGACCCTCTGTCCAGTCAGGTCGAGCGGACCTTTGCAGCCATGGAACTCGATTTCACTCGCGAGCCACCCAAGGCTCGCTTAGTCGCCTGGTTCCCCGAAGCCGCTCTCCTGCAAGGCGTGGCCGCACTCCCCTGGGACCGGAGCACGGTGCTCATCTCGGACCAGTACGTGCTGCGTCCGCGGCGCATCCAGCAGGACTGGACTCCCTCACCGGGCCAGATCTGGCGGCTCGACACCCGCACGGGCAAGTACGAGCTGACCATGACCGACTACGCCGAGATGAACACGACGTACGCGCACGGTCCCGATGTGGGCATCGACGGCATCCGCATCCTGGGCGATCAGCTGTACTGGGTCAACCAGGACACGGGCGGCATCCACCGCGTGCAGATCAAGAAGAACGGGTACCCCGTGACGCCGCGCGCCAAGCCCGAGACGGTCGCCAAGGTTGATACCGAGTTGTGGAATGATTTTGCGTTCGGTCCTGAGGGTAAGAAGGATGAGTTGATGTGGGTGACGGGGTTTAACAATATCTATGCCATTTCGATCCGCAACGGGTCGGCGGTTGTTGTCGGTGGCGCCGGCCAGAGCAACAACGAGACGTACCCCGGTCCGACGTCGTGCCAGTTTGGTCGGACGGACAAGGACAAGAATATCTTGTATGTGACAGGCAACATGGCTGCCATCCCGCCCGATCTTGAGCACATCCAGCTCGGCGGCTGGGTGCGCGCTGTTGATACCACGGGGTTTCACTTTTAAGGACCAGTAGCTCCTGAGAACAAACTTGAAAGGGGTGG